GGTCACAGTAGCATAATGTAAACAATAATATAAAAGATAGTGTACATGTAGCATGCTTGAAAAAAATAAGGGGCCAGTGGCCCCGTCAAACTTTAGGATATCTCTTTTATTTTTAATAACTTCCCTTTTATTACAAAATGGAGCCCCATGCGAGTTTTGCTAACCCACTCATTTTCCCACAAATTCCTAATCACAAAAGCATTAAAACACCAACCCTTCCTCCTCATTATTTTAGAGTTCTTAAAATGTTAAACTCGGTTTCTAATATTAGCGGATCATTAAATTTAGGAATATGTTACTTGTACATAATGATGTCCATACCCTCATATGGGGTGAGACCCACCATAAAATTATGTACATTTAGAAAAACCCTTAAATTTAATTGTGTTCGTTAAAATTATATATTGCAAGTGCATGGATGCATTCAAGTAATAAAGTTGACATTTTGAGTTCGGGTTGTCAATCACTCGAGAAATGTTTTCTTTCAATTACACAACTTTAGTCAATTTAATTTTGAGAATAAAAACAAATACACAATAAAATTTGATTTTGGAAGATAAGAAAAATTAACTAAAAATCTGCAAAATAAGAAAACATAAACATTTGGGAATTTCGAAGGAAAACATAGTTGAAATTCATGGTTTCGCTTAACTGTCGCCTAATTAATTTCTCAACAAGCCAATTAATAAATTACTCATTTACGATATTAGACCCGATTTTTCAATTTTACGATTTTCCAATTTTAGTTAATTAGCTCTCTCGAGTGAAATTAACTATAATTGATCAGTTTAACCTACTATATCTTTATATCGATTAAAACCAAACAATCACATTAAATTTTTATGAAAATATCTTAATGAGTCACATAGGGTTATGAGTATATTTCTATCACCTATACAAACCTAGGGTTTCTACTATTTGATCTAAAATGCACAATCTTCTCTCGAACGATGTACAAATCACTAAACATAATCATTAATTACTCATATAAGTGAAAATGAAAGAAATACAATAATAGATACACATGAAAATAAGCATTTAATATCAATAGGCAAATATTAAAATTAATCAATGCTATGTTAAATTTCAACCATAAATCCCAGCACAAATAACTTAGCCCATTTTATATATGTAATAATAAAGGAGAATATTCATACAATATATCATAAATACAAGAAAATTCACAATTTTGCAACCCAAGGTCCTTCATAAATTGCAACCCAAGGTCCTTCGACTTTTTGACTTGCTCAGTTTGGTTCCCTAATTCACAATTTTTGTCTTTTCTCCTCCTTTTTGCCTTGTTCTATTTCCTTATATGATTTTTACCTACAAAAGCAATATTTACATATTTGTGAATAGAAATGCGCTCATTTTTATCAATAATAAGCATATTTAGATATAAGATAAGTGTGTAAAATATACTTATCAAATTGTATGAATTATTTAATTAGAATTCGACCACATTTAATTTGATGGATGTTGTGTTGGTGTCTGATTTGACTAAGACATTATAAGAACTGGATTAAAGGGTTAAGCAGTCCTAAAACTAGGATTCATTTCTTATTACAAACGTGCACTTGTAACGTACCATATTTCAATGGATTGTTGTAATTTTTCTACCTCGTGTCCATTCTCATAATGATGGTGTTTTTTCTAAATCAAACTTTGTTGTTCGACATTTTGAACTAGTTATCGTTTAGAAGGTATTGTAAAAAGATCATCAATTTCTAATGAAATAGATATAGCAGTAGCTTGGTGGAACCCCGAGTCACTTGATCCAGGATGTGTGATGTACATGTCATTCCAAATTGATCTATTAATCTACGACTTGGTGAATTTACTATAAATTGAAGTAGGTTGTTCTAAATTAAAGTGGATTTGTTATGTCTAGTACGGTAGAAGTTTGGTAGTCTTGAACAAGATGTAGTTGATAAAATTGAAAATGAGGTCATTATATGGCAAAGTATGAAAAGTTGTAACTACTTTAGCCACTGTTTAATGTCGCTTAGAATCTATTCTGTAGGAGATTTTTGCAGAGTCTTGAACGGTTCATTACATACCGTTGCAACTTCTGCTTCTCTATTTTATCCGTCATTTGATCAGGGAAATCCTCAGTCGAAGGGTTATGTCAGAGGTAATACAGGAATAGTTAACAATACGTGCAACTCTCGTGTAGGAAAAGGGAAGCTGGGACATATCCTAGCAAGAATATAGTATTTTTAGGTTTTATTATAAATTCTTTTTAATTTAAAGATCAAAGTCAAACTTTAATTTTAATCAAATATTTCATGAGATTCACAATCACTGCCGACTTATTCACTATTCATTTTGGTCACCTTAAAATTTCAACAGCTTATAATAAAATCCAAACAAGCACATAGAACTTATAAAGCTAAACAAGGCTTACACATTTGGAGACCATTCCAAGATTACCTATGCTATGGGAGCTCTAAAATTGTTGACCCCAAAAAATGTTGCCAACAGATGTCGGGCCCACTCGTGCACGTGCAAGCCTTTGTCCAACCCGCGTGTGCCGAAGAACGGTCAGAAATGCTCCAGAATATGGGCGTGGGAGGGGCTTGCCACACGAGACGTCAGAGTTCGGGCCTCCGGCAAGATAGGTAGAACGATCGTGTAAGAATCCGATCGATAAATGACGAGATTTGTGATC